CTCTTTCTGCTTTTTCATCTACCAATCGAAGAGCAGGTCGCACCTTTCCTCTCTCGAAATTTGGCTTTACATTACGTAATTAATAAAACGCCAACCCAAAGATTTTCAAACACTTGTTTTATGTGATGCCATGGCTGATTAATTCGCGAAATAAAATTCCTGGAGCGACATATCCAGGTCCATGTCCATTTCCTTGCGTATATGTTCTATTATTAAAAATATAGGATAACTTATTTCTAAAATTAGAAAATTAGAAAAATTTGCATAAAGTGCCGCATTGTTTTTGGATATCACTCGAGAATGGAATAGCATACTTACTTCGTGGTTTTACTTCGTGGTTCACTATTTTATACAAAAGAACCGTTCATTATCAAGCATATTTTCGACATTTCTGCAGTTTGAAAAATTTTTTATTTCAATTATTAATTAAATGTATACACAAACGGCTTCTATATTGTTGAATTTTTATCTTAATTACGAAAATCTGCGTCGTTTATTAATTTTAGTATACAATTATATTCTATAATGTATGTTATTCTTTATTTTATTGACGTTTCTATTTGACTGTCAAACTAAAAAAAAATCTTTTATGGGTTAAACGCTAAGTGATTTCGCGTTGTATCGTTAAAATTATGCGTGACTCGGCGATATTTCCCTTCGACATTTACACGTCGTGAGTGTATGATGTCATTAATCGACATCTGTTGATGAACTCCAGTAATGGAGAGTATGGGATAAAATCCGCTTTTAAAATTGCTGAATCATGTCGCAGCGGCATTCTTTTTGCCCTGCGTTAACGAGAGTGCTGACGTTTGAAGTGTAAGGCGCGCATTGCACAGCATATAATAAAAACTTCTCGACATGTTGACGTTTGCACCAGCCGATATGGCGTTTCGCTGTCATGTATGCCGAAAAACGAAAGCTTTTCGAGCTTTCCGTCATGCTGAGAAATCGCGTATCAAACATTTCCAGCGCGATTATACGATCGACGAATTCGTTCTCGAAGAAAAAAGCGTATATATGGGAAGAAACGCGGAATGCGCGCGTTAACTGCAAAAATTATTAACTTTTTACTTTTCTACGTTTTTCAGAAGTATTTGCGTATCACAATTGCGTAATGTACAAGATTTACCGTGTACTACAAAAATATATTAAGGCAAGGAAAATACTCTCTCCGCGCGCATTCGCTCCTGGCATTGTCGAGGATTTGTCAGTGAACTTTCATCGCCGGACGCGTGCAGCAAAATGCAGTTGTGACACTTGCAACAGCGCACCTCGAGGCCATATTTTTTTGTTTGCACGAGCGACAACGACAACGACGACGACGACGACTACGATGCCGGCGACAGCGACGACGACGTTGACGTCAAGGGGCGTAAGTCGGGATGTAAATGGCGTAAAAACTTTTCGACGTGCATATGCACGAGACGACGACGGTGCACCGAACGAGGATATGAACAAGGGTGTGGTAGCGGTGGCGTTGTGCAGGAATATGGCAACTAGAATTGCACAGTGCTATAGAGAGAACAGAGGAGGCAAGAGAGAATGAGAGAGAGAGAGAGAGAGAGAGAGAAAGCGTCATGAGAGAGAAGGGGACGTTGGATCGGAGAGGGTGTGTGCACCAAAGAGGAGACGAGAGGGAGCGACGGAGAGAAAGAGAGACAGGGGGATACAAGATCGAGCGAGACAAGTCGCGGGGGCGGGAGCGAGAACGAGATAGAGGTACTGCGACGATCAATACGCCATCAGCTTAAATTACAATAATAACGCCGGCCAGACAAAAGCGCCATTATAAAATAGTGCGGCCGTAAAAGGCCGCGGCGTCGCGCTGTCCGAGACTGGTCCAGGGACAAACATCCCTCTGTCTCGAGGAGAAGGAAGGGTGGGAGAGAAACGCTTAATCGTTGCTAAAAGGAGAAATAAAACGCTCGTTATTCGACAGGGCATAGTACCGCTTACCAACCCTCTCCGTGTTCTTACCGAAACGCCGAGAAATTGGACGCTCGTTTCGCCGTCGTCGTCGTCGTCATTGCCGGCTCTTCGTTCGGGACGTCGGTAAATTTAACCCCTTCGCGGCCGGACAGAATTGCCTCCGACGTTTTCATCGACGTGACGGAGCTCGGTTTATTGATTCTATTAGCCGCGATAAAACTGCGCGTCCTGAAATTTACACGCGGATTTCACTGAATACGACGCGCGCATGCTGCTGCTGCATGCTACTACGTGAAATGGAAGGGATTTACATTCATTCCCCGAATGTCTCCCTTTCTCTGCATTTTCGAGGGAGTGCGGTGGATTTCGGAATGTCGACGGCTTTGTCTATTAAACCGCTCTCGCAATCATTGACATAGCTGAGAAGAACGATGACATTTTTCACGCGCCAATTTATTTTTAATTTTTTGTCGGCGCTTTAATTACAAAAATTCTACATACAAAATGAACTTTTTAAAAATAATTTTGCGATATAAATAAGAGAGCGCGTAACTTAGGAAGATGGAATACCGTTAAAAATTCCCAGAGCATCAAAACAGCATTAAAATGGCGAAATTAATAGCGGCAAAAAGTATCGGATTTGAAACTTTCCGCGAAGTTTCGCTTCGGGAAAAGTGCGGGACAATGTTTCGCGATTTTTACGTTATGTACATTAAAAAGTTAACGCAGGATCTCTGTCTGCTCAGCCAACTCCGCGGAGAGATTTCTTTCTTAACGACTTCCCGGGAAGGCACGTATATCGTAAAATATCCCGCGGAGAATCGTCCGGACCGAAATCAACGGGAGGAGCGCGTTTTCAGAGCGCCTTAAATTTTCGATCCCGTTCTCGTTTAAGGTAACGGAACGCCGTGCAAACGCGCCGTCCGAGTATGCTTGTTGACTAATAATTTATTAATGCTTATGCAACAATGCGTGCGCACCCGCAATAATTTGCATACGTTGAATTTCGTTAGGCAAATACACGCGCCGGTTAACATGCATTAATAATGCGCGCGGCCGATAATCGGATATTTCTGAAATTTTGCTGCATTATTAATACAACCGCGTGCGCATACGTCCGAATTGGTTTATCGCGCGTGCGTATGTCATTCATTTAAATATATTTGAATATCGAAAAAAAAAACGTGCCCTCCACTTTACGTTACGAAAGCTTCGCAGTCACGAGCAGCTGCGCGATTGATATTACCGTAATTTCGACGTTATTGTACCGTGAACATGGAAATATAGTCAGCTCGAATTAATTTACAAACTCGCAAATTAAGATAAAATGTTATCGATTCTTCTCTTAGGTATCGCACAATCTCGCGATTCTCGGATATTCTCGCTATTATAATACAATGGAAAGTCCTAATTACATAGAAAATTAGTTTCGAGCACTGCCGAAACTACGTCGGTCTCGCTCATCAGCGTCGTAAATTAGCTTGTTATTACAGAGTATAAATGTATTAAAGAACCAACTCAAAAGCATATGTAAGCTGAGGACTCTTCGAAAGAAGGCCTTATTCTTTTTATCTTTATTAAATCCTTACGGTGTAAAGTAAATGTACCAATTGCTGGAACTTAAGACCTCTAGACACCTTTATCATTTTAGTTTTTAAATAAGTATAACGTGAATTAAACTCAAAGATTAAAATATAATACAAGAAAAATATTCTTATCTTTGATTCTTTGATTTTAATTTGCGTTATAACTTATTTAAGGATTAAAATGATAAAAATGTCCAGAAATAGGTACACTGAGAGAAATAAGTGATCGGACAATCGTTCGAAAATTAACAAACAGGTAATCCGATAACTTTCAATCGAAATTATAAAAAGCCGATTAAGGCCAAAATAACGTCCGATCAATGATGTCCAGATATCATTGATAATTGGATATCATTAATCGGACATTATTTTAGCCTTGATCGGTTTTTTATAACTTCGATTGAAAGTTATCGGATTACCCGTTTGTTAATTTTCAAACGATTTGTCCGATTATTTAAACCTGGATTTTTTTCTCAGTGTACGTGTCCAGATTGGACACGTATTTACCTTATACGCGATACAACTCGAGACAAGTGAGAAGCTCGAGTCTTAATCGCATTTATGAAAGTGAAACTTTTCTGACTTGCGGTTTCCCTCCTTCTGTTTCAGAGCACCGCAACTCGTCGCCGCCGCGATTCAACGAGCGGGTGAATCCCGGGCCGATCCGCACCGGCGAGACGATCGTGCTGTCGTGCATCTCGCAGGGTAACCCGCCGCCGACGTACCTCTGGTTCCGCGAGTCCGTGTCGGGCACGACGATGGTCTTCAACTCGGAGAGGATACACGCGCGCGCCGGCGTCCTGGTATTGCAGCCGGCCCGGGTCGAGGACGCCGGCAGATATGTCTGCCACGCGAACAATACCGCCGGTTCCGAGCGAGTCGAGCTGGAAGTCACCATCATAAGCAGCCTCTCCATCCATCTGGCGCCTCAACAGGTTCATTATTTGATCCTTTCTGCCTCTTTTTCTATCTCTCGGAACGGAACGACGACGCTTCCATGCGAACGACCCAGTTTACGTACCCACTCGCGTGCGTCTTAACGTCTTTTCCATCTCGTTTTCTCTTCCCCTTTCCGTCGATGATAGAAATATCGATTGCTCGAGTTTCGCAGTTTCTATCCAAATCCAGACTTGACGGCGTAATTGATAATTCATTAATAATCTTAATAAGGATTTTTTAAGTTTTAAATTTCTGGCTAGAACTGTCAGAAAAATCACACAATTTCATAATGTATTATTGCATTAGAATTCCATATGGAAAATTTAAACTTACAAACAGATAATACGCTACTTGTTATAGAATTTTTTAATTTATTGAATTATTTTTAATTAATTAATTTTTATGTGTTTTTTCTTTTGTCTTGTATAAATATTACATAATTTTATTTATTATAATATTTTTATACTTAATTATTGAATATTTGTTAAAAAGTACTAAATAATTAATAATTATATTACTTAATAATTTAATTTTTTTCTTTTTATTTGCTTAGGTATATAAAAATATTTAAAAAATAATATGTATATATACATATGTATATTTTTCTGGAACGTGACAGTTTTCTAGACTTTTTATTTGAAAAAACTTTTTTTGAGACATAAATAATATTAGAAACATAAATAATATGAAAAATTTAGTTTAAGCTTTAGCTTTGTGGAATATTGATAATATAATATAATATAATAATATCTTAAAACTGCAAAATTGTAAAACATTGAGCAAGCTTAAAACGGATTTTACGCAGAATGTAAAGAGCCATGGAAAAGCGAGGAAAACTTCTGGCACGACTTAGCTATGGGACGAAACATAAAGATTGGCTGATTTAACAGCGAAAATATTGCTTCATAGAAACAGGGGGCTGGACAGAGTTTCTAAACGTATGCAGCTTTCACTCCGTCTCACTTTATACAATAATTATATAATTATACAACAATTACGGAACAAAATACAAATTGTAGTTTATATTAACAGGCATGCAAATTAATTCTCGTCTCTTTCGAAGCGTGAAATGGTACGCAAACACTCGCAACGGGGCGCCCGTTTGAGCTCCGCTTTCCCAAATAATGTTCGAATCTAAGTTTCAATTGTTATAGCGCGCACCTTTGTTCAGCGTAATCGCCATAGAATGGCATAGAATATAGCCAGCTATTTCGATTCGAGCAAAGTTAAACCCAAGTTCATCCTGTTACTCCGAACGAGATAGTGGACTTTGGACAATCTCCGGATAATTGGGTCGAACATCAACGTTACATCACAGTTCCTCCATCCATCTTGCGCCAGTGTCGGTTTACATGCATTTCCTCTCTCCTGAGTTTCACAAACAAATGTATAAACTTTCTTCTTCTTCTTCCTCTTTCTCTTTCTCTTTGTTACTATATATTACGCGGTCGCCTCAGGCTGCCTCGGGCAAAGATCGCTTCACGTCATCGTAACACCTACCTCGAGCATTTATGCGATCTGGTTTTGCAATAACTATTTATCATCTCGACCGTTGCAATAATTTGAAATGGACTTCTATTCTGGAATGAATCACGCTAGACTGCGAAGCGGATAAGAGCGAGGAGAATTATCGTCATACATTTTCGGAGCTCATGAATAAAATCCATTTCATCCCGGCCTGAAGCCTTAAACCCGGCAAAGTAATTTCATCGATTTCTTCGGAATCGATGCAAAATCCGTTCGCTACCTCTTTCCATTTAAGATCTCCTCCATCGGGGGATAGTAAATAAATAACAATCATTATTCTCCGGCTGTCATCGCGCGTGACGATCTGCGCTCGAGTTTTCCCCCCATTGAGCGGATTAAGAATCTCGGGGCGACATTTCTCGGGACGATATCGACGATAATCTTTTCCGTTCACGTAGCGCTCGATCTCCCTTCGACCTCCCAACTTTTCCGAACTAGCAAGCTTCTCTTGAATGCGCGACGTCGCAAATGACTCGGGCGTTTCTATTGTCCGCTCTTTTCCCTTCGGTCTTCGATTCGAGGCGACAATTGTCGCCAGTTTCCCCGAGGGGCGCGTGGGGCACGGTCAGAATCTGCATTTTACTTATCACCATTCGGCGAGATTTCGCGAAATTTACTTTTACCTCGGAGATTTCCATTCGCTCTCCCCGCGACGGCATTTGACGACGGCATTTACGGACTAAATCGGTATTTATCTAGAAAATAGCAAAGAGAGTTCCATCGAATCGCGCTATAAGCACTTACCTTGCTAGTTACGACCGCGTACCTTGAGAGACTTCAAAATCTGATTGAGCAGCCATAAAAGGACGCGCGTATATCACTCCTCCGTAGTTTAAAAAGCGTTTTCAGAATTTAATGATGCTAATATTCAACGATAATTAAATTTTTAATTAAAAGTCTAATAAAAAGGAAAATAATATCTTTTTAATATTATAGAGCAAATAACTGAAAAATCATCATTGTCTACAAATATTGCGCTGAAAAAATAATTTAACCGTGCGTTATAGCGTTTCCAAAATCTGCCACATGCGCGCTATTCATTAAAAAAAAAAAAAAAAAACCACCGTGCGTACTTTTTGCATGTATTGTAGTTTGACTGGTGCGTTAATACGTTACAAAAAAAAAACACAAAAACATGTACATGCGTTTTGAAACATGATACGCCGTATCCATCGAGGGAAAACGCAAATTTTATTCTGCTCCCAAAGCACGGGTCGATATAATCGTCAATATCTTTGCACAGAAAAATCGTAGCAAAATGATCTTGATGTCGTTCGAAAGCTAAGATTCCATCGCTTCCAATTAACAAGTGCAATGCCGTTTAATCTCGAAGGGCCAGTTTATGAGATATTGTCGATTAATTATGAAAATAGGATTTATTTCGCTTCAAAATTTCCGCCCTCAGACATTTTAATTGAGATCGCGGGCGGATGTAACCGGATGTATCTCCACGCAGAAAAATTATAGCGAGATGATCTTAATCCCGTTTAAAAGCTGGAACTCTGGTGCTTCCAGTGAATATAAGATCGCTTATCTTGGATGGTTAGCGTGCGAGATATTGTCGATGATAACAAAATTAAAGTCAATTTTGCTTGAATCTCCATCGTTTAAAGCAGAACACCACATGTTTTAGTTAATCTATTATTATTACTTAAAAAAAGTTAAATTTTTGTATTCCAAGAAGATTTAAATTATTCTAAGTATGTATATTTATATGTCGCTCTTTACAACTAAGAAACTAATACTTAATGTCTCGATTTCTTTTGAGTAAAAAAACTTCAACTTCAGATTAATTAAAGAGCATCCGTAAAAGATTTGAAATTCTGGGACAATCTGTTCTATTTAAGAGTCTCTAAACCTTTATTCACACCATCTGTTTTTTCGCACTATTGTTACAAAAGCATTTGATTCTACTTGGAAATTTATAGGTCACTTCCGTCACGCAGAATGACGGTTCGTTGCTTTGTGATTTTGTTAAGCCATTAAGAAGATTCTCTCTTTTTCTCTGTATCTTTCTCTCTCTTGCTTCTTCTCTCGTGTCTTAACTGAGAAGATATCGACGAGGGCGAATTTCCTCCGAGGCATCTCCGAATAAATTCAAGCCGAACTCTGATGGCGGCGAGCGACTAATTCCCAGCGACGTAGATAATCGAGGGATCGCGCGCGCTAATACCGTAAACAACGGCGAAGGCAGGTAGTCCGGAAGCGCGATTGCTCAGCCGTGATGCTGCGTATAAAACACGATGCCTCATCCGTGAGCACGATGAATCCCGAAGTTGTCCAAGCCACTTATTCCGCCGGGTCAAATTATCGTTCGCTCGAAGATCGTCAGACTCCGTTCCGCAATTGTGCCCGCACTCTCTTGCCTGAAAGTTCCTTACAAATGTCGCCAACTTCTCGAAACGATCCCGTCGCTACCTGGAAGAAATTCTACTTTCGCGGTTTGTCAAAATCTGTGCACGCTCTTTTGCGCACTGCACTGGTTTAGAAGTTCACTGTTGAATTCGTTATAGTGTCAAATACACTCAATTTCAATCATTTTTAACCATTTCTATAGGTCGCTACTGCTCAATATGTCGTTAAATTAACTAAAACAATGTTAACTTAACTAAACCAATGGAGTTAAAATAATAAATTTTCGACACACATGGTGGTTAAAAATAACAAAATGTCATTTAACTCAGGTGGCTTTAATTTTATCCTTTAATATTTTACAGTGTTTAATTTTTTAAACTGTTATCATTCTCTAACCTTGATTACTTTGCATTCTTCCTTCTTTTCTCATTATGTCTATATTTCATTTATTACACTTTTATTGATATATTTGTAAAAATAAATCCTATATAGGTATGTCTAATATGTTTCATATTTAGGAAATTATAATCGATACCGATAGCTTCGTATATTCTCATTTTATCTTGATTTATGACGCTTGTTTTACATCATGAAAAATTACTGTTCTCCGTTGAATTAGTATATACATTCAAACGGTACTCTCTGCGATCTCTATGAAGCTCGCGCTTCGCGGGTGGGGTTATCGACGACCGAAGTGGCCGCGACTGATAACACACAGACCGAAATATCGAAGCGCCCGCGCGGAAACCGGTGTGTAATAAATGCTCCACGCGCGGGCAAACTATTTCACTGTCAATTACCAGCTGATGGATCACAACCCCTGTCTCGATTCGCCGAGACGAATCGGTGTGTTACGTACCTACCCTATCCTGAAAAGTCGACTGCATTCCGGGTCGATCGACGCCTCGTCGCGAAACGCGAAAGAGGAAAGAGAGAAAGGGGTTGGGAAAGGGGGGAGGGGGTGGAAAATGTCAGTAAAATGTCGCTGTCCGAGGGAAAACGCGAGAAAGTGGTCGGTATTCTTCCATCTGGAGCGGACAGCTTGGACATATATACATACATATATACATACTGTATATATAAAAGAAGGACGAATACGTATTGGTAAATGGTGCACGGTGACGAGGGCTGCTGGGTGCCATCGTGGGAGAGCGACAGAAACATCAGGGAGAATTGCAGGGGGCTGGAAACGGTGAAATACCATTCATTCGCCGGAAGCCTTCCGTATAACTTTCGCGGTCATCAACGGAGGAACGTTTACTAGGCGGATTTTCTTGCGTATACAGGGTGGACCGTTTGCGTAGGCATTACTTTACGGATTTCTCGATCGATGTTTTGAATCGATCTTTCTTTAGCGCAAACTTGACTGGCCAGTACCAATAATAACACATGTTAGAATGCTCAATCATCTCTGTATGTATTAAAAATGTTTAAAACTGAAATTTTATTGAAGTTATCTAAAATTAAATGGCAAATAAGATTCATTATATAATATGCTTTTCAGGAATATAATTCTTGAGGAACGTCATTGTATTTTAGTTGTTCATAATTTGAAAATGATTGATAGACCTTTTTATTTCGAGAGAAATGAATCGATTAAAGAAATCGCGGTTGAAAACCGGACGCGATGAATCTGGGACACTCCGTATATGTCGGCTGTCTTTCGCCTCCGCAATTTCGTTCCATTAACGCGTCGAACCCCCTTCGTACTTTATTGGCGGAAACCGCAGCTTTTTGTCACGCGTAGCGCAGAGTATCCGGCGTTACGACGGAGTTAATAATAGCAGGCTTTTCGGCGAATCTCTGTCAAGTTATTTCTACCGTTCGGTATTTCCGGATTAATCGAACATACGAACCCGAAACTTGCGCGTTTCATTAGACACCAACAAGTTTCGATGCGTTTTCCGATGTTTAATCCACGAGATGTTACAAAAATATTCAAGAATTTCGGTGACGTTACTTTAGAAGTAACTTCTAAAGTAACTTATTATAACGTCTAACGTCTAAAGTAACGTCTTAGCGTACTTGCTTTAAATACAGGAATACTTCTAAAGTAACTTAATGACAAATGTACTTTTATGAATGCTTTGCAGGTATACTAATAGAATTTATCATCCGTATTTATTTCAGAAAATAAAATTGTAATCGTCATTTCAATTTTTTACCTTACAATATTTGATAGACTACATCGCTTTCTTTGTCTCTTTATTATTTTAGAAGCTTGTCACGAATGAAACAAATTTAATACACCCTCGTCCTTGTTTAGCAGCAGGGCTTTCATTTGTCCCGCGTTTTTCCCCCGCCCCTCTTGAAAAAAACACGTAATAAACGCACAACGGGCGTTTTCAAAGAAAATTTCATGTACGTCGCGCGTGTATGCGTTTATTGTTACCTTGAAACAAAGCGTCTCCGCGTGTTGTAAATATACTTACGCGCAAACCGTAAAGGGAGAGACAAACCACAAAGAAAGTTGACGCGTGGGGTGAGGGGCGTGAGACGGGGGGGAGGGAGGACGGAAACCGAGTTCGTCTTAGCTCGTTTTATGAATCTCCCTTCGAGCACCTTTAAAGGAACCATTGCAACCGCGGTTTTATCCCTTTCTTCCTTCCTGAGTTTCCCTCGGCGCGCTTTTCCGAGGGCGAGGGCCGTATCAAAAGATATTTAAAAGTCGCAGCGAGAGAGAGAGAGAGAGAGAGAAATGATTCGAAAGAAAGTTTTCCCTTGGACTCGCGAACAAAGGCGGCTGAAGCGCGATCCTCTTAACGGCATTTAACGGTCGCGGTCGTTTCGACGAATAAAAGTCATTTCTCGAATCGCGTGATTGTTGCGTTTCTGGATTTCTGCATGCGAGCAGAAAGCAACTAATGCCAGTATGTTCCTCAAGTTAATTAATTTTATTCCTCATAATTATCCATAAATCTTGAAAATATTCGTTATTATTAAGAGAAAATCTATTTAATGTTAATTACAGAATATTAAAAATATTAATTATAAAATATTAATTTTAATATTAAAAGTCATTTAATATCTATTAACATTAAAATATAAATACATAGAATTTTATAATATGGGAAATAATGGAAGATATTATTTCATTTGTACATAAAAAGCATGTAAATGATATATTAACGATTTATCTTTTATTATTTTATAAAACTGCTTTTTGTGCATGCTATTTGTGTAGCATCGTGCCAGGTGTGTCGCGTTAAATGCACGTTCACACTGCAGGGAGAAAATTAATTTTATCAAAGCTTAACTTTGTGAAAGCCGATGTGGTTCCGTGATCCGCGCATTCTCGATCTACGCAACCGATATGCGGCAATCGTCAGGTTTAAAACCATCAGTTGATTCTCTCCGGGGCTGTCCGCTTATCGTGGTGCATGCGAAGGTGGGCTTTTTGCTCGTCGAGAGATCGAGCGAGCGCGTCGAATGGCTGCTGGGAAGTGCTGCTCGTTCGCGAATTCTTGGTCGGAGTGCTTGCGGAATTCGCAGCCGTGATGCAGCGAGCATCGCGATGCGGCATCCCAGCCGTGCACACGTATGCACGCGCTCGAACATGCACGCCGCATAATCGAAATGCGCTGTTCGTGGCCCTCTCCTCGGTTTATCCCCACCCGGCTTCCCCTCTTCACCCTTTTGTCTCTACTCCTGCGTGTCCCTCTCCCGTCCGCCCCTCCACCCCTCGGAGTAAACGAGCGTCCTTAATAATGCGCAAGACCGATTCCACTCCGGATCAAAGGATCCTATCTGCGTTCGATCGCCGTCAAGTTAAGCGGCTCAAGATGGATATGGAAATTCCGGCGGGAGGCCGATTTAATGGATCACCCTATATTATTCCGCGAATTCCTGGCGCGTATCCTTGTCTGACGGTACACGGGGTCTCATCTACGTATACCTACCTATCCCAGGAAGACTTCAATTAAACGTAGAACGTCGATCTCGGGCGATCGTTGTCGCGATTAATATCGGCTATGCCAACGGGATCATAGCGATTTGAATTGATTTTGGAATAGGTTTAAAAGTATATTATATTTTAAATAATGTATAATATAATAATCGAAATATACGGGATACAAAAAATTAATTTTCTATAAACGATGATTTTTTTAAATTATATTGAGAACTAGCTGGTTACCCGGGCTTCGCCCCGGAGGACATGTGTAATAATACACGCAAATAATCTTGCTCAATAGTCTCTCTCTCTCTCTCCCTCTCCCTCTCCCTTTCCGAGATTCGGTCAATTATTTCGCGTAAGAATTAAAAAAATTAGAAAAACCGGTTTCCAGAAAATCGGTAACGAAAAACTATACACTTTACAGCACTCCCCGGAAAATTTTACCCCTATTTTATATGGTTCTAATACAAATTCGGTCCAATAGTTTTTAAGTTAAAAACGTTCAAACATACACCACACTTGTAAGAATTAAAAAAAATTTTTAAATGGGTTTCCAGAAAATAGATAACGAAAAACTATACACTCTATAGCATTCGCCAGAAAATTCTACTCCTATTTTATATGGTTTTAATATAAATTCGGTCCAATAGTTTTTAAGTTAATAACGTTTTTTTTATTTTTCTAATTCTTACGGGTGCGGTGTATGTTTGAACGTTTTTAACTTAAAAACTTTTGGACCGAATTTGTATTAAAACCATATAAAATAGGGGTAGAATTTTCCGGGGAGTGCTATAGAGTGTATAGTTTTTCGTTATCTATTTTCTGAAAACCGATTTTTTTAATTCTTTTACCCGTAAGAATTAGAAAAATTAAAAAAATCGGTTTTCAGAAAATCGGTAACGAAAAACTACACACTCTATAGCACTCCCCGGAAAATCCTAGCCCTATTTCATGTACTTGTGGTAAAAATTCGGTCCAATAGTTTTCACGTTATTAACGTTCAAACATACACCACCCGTAAGGATTTTATATAATAGTATAGATATGACGGAATATTGAAGAATAATGTACACTGAATTTTTTGTTGCTATGTCATTTTTAAATTGGAAACAAACTCTGCTGCACTGTTCAAAAGCCGTAAAAGCCAGATTTTTCATTAATTTGCATCTCAATTACGTTGATATACTTTTAAAGGAGAGGAGCGCGACGGTCAAAGGGCGCGTGATTAAATTAGCTTTCCGAATGCGAGATTGGAAATTCCATCGGGCCACTTGGGTTAATTGTACGAGCGCGTTCGTCCAATTTCTAATTCAATATACGACGCGACTGTGTCCTCGCGTTCTCCTCATCGGCACGTACGCATTTCGGTGTACCGGAGACGCGCGAGTCCGCATCGAGATTGCATTTGCGTTAATTTTTTAATTGCATGAGGAGTGAATAATTGATGATTAAAAGTTTTTTCATCCTGCCGCAGAGTTCGGGATACTCAAACAGAATATTATGGTTTTTGTTATAGGTTTCGCGATTTTATTTTTGAAAATTAAAACTTTGCAGTTGCAATTCGCACAATGAAGTATGATTTAACGTTTATTTCAGTTTAATTTACAATGCCATCAGCACATTTAATATATTACACACACGTTACACACACACGTGTAACATGTATAACGAACTTTAAATCGTAAATATTATATTACGTTCCGAATATCATATTTCTGTTGTACCGCAGATTATAGTCAAATATTATATTACATTTCGTCGTATTGTGTGTCGCGTGGTATTAATCCATATATGTTTCTCGTGTTTCTAGGTGACCGTAGACCTGGGGAAGGACGCGGAATTTCAGTGCTCCGTCACCGGTCAGCCACATCCGGTGATCTCATGGGCGAAGGACGGTCTTCCTGTGCGTGAGGGATCATCGGGTAGGAGCAAAGTCACGGGTAACGACGGCTCGACGTTGCGTATATCTTCTATCGTGAGAGACGACAAAGGGATGTACCAGTGCTTCGCCAAAAATGACTACGAAATGGTGCAGGCCACGGCCGAATTACGTTTGGGAGGTAAAACTCATTCGATTCATTATTTTCCACGCATTACCCTTATGTCCCTCGATTTAATATTAAATCACTATATATATAGTCCTTCATTAGACGATTTACGTTAAAAAGGATATAGATCACGTGCTTAATAAGTCGCAGTAAATTAATTGAATATTAATCGCAAGATAAAGTATGATAAATATTTGTAATACATTTTTATCAAGTCAAACTAAGTAACATGTATTAAATACTAAGACTTTAAATTGGCGTGCTTAAGGAAATTAATCTTTGTTAATTAAATGATTAAGATACCTTGATTGTGTACACGGATGATATTCGTAATACATTTTTGTCAAGTCAAACTAAGTAACATGTATTAAATACTAAGACTTTAAATTGGCGTGCTTAAGGAAATTAATCTTTGTTAATTAAATAATTAAGATGCCTTGATTGTGTACACAGATGCGATTCAGCTGTTTACATTTTTCTTCTAATAATCTTCTTCTAATCTCTGATTTTGAGACAAAGAAGCCAGAATATACTCGAGATATTGTAATAGTATTATATTTAAAGTACTATACGCGAAAGTCGGAATGGATTAGCGTGAATGCGAGCGAGCGCTATACCGCGCAACTTTGGCGAAGTTTTGTGAAAGTTCCCTCCAGGAAATAATAAGGCTAAATTAAGGCTATTACCGGTACACCATTAACCGACGGTGGAAAACTCTATTGCCAAAGTTTTGTCTCCTCTCATCTTCTTTTTGCGACCTTTTACCGGCCGCTTTATAAAGTATAGTTCCATTGAATACATATAGATACACTGTCCGAAAGCCATCTTATTATGCTACTAAATGACGGCGTATTTTTAATTATGGACGACGTTCATTCACCGCGCTATTATCGAGCTATTATTATTCAATTACCCGCGAATACGATGAGAAGTATGGAAGGATAATAATTAGTCAACTTATGTCAAAGTCACAGTTAAAGGATAAGTTATTAATTTATTTTAATTTACATTAATTATTTCTCTTATTCTTTTATGCTAACTAAGCTTATAGTTGCGAAAAGAATAAATTTATCGTGAAAAGAAATATCTTTGTATAAAAATTAAATTTTTCAATCAATAGATTGTTTAGAATATTCAACAAAAAGTCCTTGAATTAGAATCATTAAAAATATAAAGGACGTTAAAATTATAGAAAAATTGATAAACGTTAGATAAATTAATGGGATTAATAATGTTATTTGGAGACAAGAATTCTTAGGGAATGTATATCGTTCCTTTCTCCGTTTCCGTTGTCGAGTCCTTTACTTGTTCAGTATGTGCAATCATTCAAACGTTCTCGCGAATCGACGTGTTGTGTCGATATATGGATCGACGAAGGAAAAATAAGGGCACAAGCCAGGAAAACCCGATCGTGGCATGAGATCGACGGGGTAAACGGAGAAACGCGGTCGGGCGAACCTCGGGACAAAAAGGGAGATGAAAGAGAAGGAAAAAGCGGAGAAATGCTTAACGAGGGCGATGCATAATGGAGAAAGGAGAAATCCACTAGCCGGCGTGCCGCGAAATAAATACGCGCTATTTGTCTTAGTCAGAGGAGGGTTGGTCGACCAGAGAGAGATTGGAAGGAGGATGGCCGGTGAAAAGAAGGGGAGCGAGTATCGCGCGAGCGGAAACGAATGGCGACCGGACGAATATTCCGTCGTCGTCGTCGTCGTCGTCATTGTCGTCTTTAAAACGGTTGAGACGACGGGCGGGCGTTTTCGCGCGACATAATCCATTACCTTAAACGACCGCTGTCGCTTTCTCGACCGTCTTAAGATGCCTGCGCGCGCGAAGCGAGCGAGAATGAATGCGTGCTCTCGGACCTGCACATTAGTCCCCGCCGTCTTTGTCTCGTTTGGATTAAACAGATTATAAATGAAGACACTCGGCTGATGTAAAAAGCCGGGTCGCGGATATTCGAAGGGACTCGGAACACAACCGTAGAATCAAGAATTTTTTTTATTAAAAAATGCAGAGGTCCACCCCCGCAAATCTCGAAGACTTTATCCACCGGCGCTCGAAATTCTTTATTTATGCTTCTTAAATTCTGAATGAAAAGGAGGAGAGAAAAGTTGAAAGCAAACGCGTCAAAACTTCTTCAATGAATTATAAATCTTTTATGTTAAAGTGAATATCTTACTGTAATCGACGACAAGTTTTGAGGGGATGTTATATATTAACGTTTCTTCAGCTTTCCTCACGACTTCCTTTAACGCACAGTAGGATAGGTTACACGTTAACGAGCAGTCCATCCAAATCCGGCTATTTTTTCACAATGCGTTTAATAATTATAGAGCGTCACATCCTATATATATAGAATGCTCGAAAACGAAATTCCGGAAATACCTCGACCTTTTCGGAAATGGAACATATGAAAATTCCACTGATCGTTTTTATCGCAATTAAACGATATCCGGGCGAAAAAGTTGCCGGCGGGCATTCGAAAAGTGGGACGCGGCGCAATGAAACGAGGGAATCGTGCTTTAAATCGCCAACAGCAGCAACGGCAGCGCACCCGGCATTTTTCGACTTTTTCTCCCCCCCTCTCTCGCAAAAAGAGGAAATAATTTATTTCAGATGCGATATGAATTTGCGAGGTAAGTCGCGACTCTTTCGCGCGATATTATATTCGAGAGCGCCGTATACCTATTTATTCATACGCATTTACTCGAGTTGCGAAACGCACGACTTTCGCGCGACTTGCTCGTTTCACGTGAGAGAACCATCGCCATTACCGTGCGCGATACTTTTCTGAGCAATTTATGAGTGCGTTTAATGCGATTTGCCAGTGCAACGTGTATGTCATCATCATCGTTGTCGTCGTCACGACGCGAAATACGGAATAATTGGACGGCCCGGTAAATCCTCTTATATACGTTAACAAAAAGAGAGAATCAAAGAAGCGAAGTTCCATAACGATCGTAAACCGTGCGTAGAACTGAGAAGGCTGATGGGGCCAGGTAGGAAAAACCACGATACGCAAAGGGAATAGAATCCTCGGATTTTCACGATTTTCGTTTGATCGAACAAAGGGATCACAATAATGGAACGGACCGGCAAAATTACGCGGGAAACTGCTGATTCGGGACGAAATAGGCACTTTTGAACGCGAACCAAATGAGAATCGTAACCGAATCAGCATCGCCTCGTAAGAGCGGTATAGTTCCTCTCGCAATTGTAATTTCGAACGATCGATCTTGTACGGAATCGAACGCGTGCTCGCGTTTACATAAATTAGAGATTGTGTCATTGCTGCCAGTTTCATTTTCACGCTTCATACATTATAGGTCGACGTTTGTTTGCTACATAGGTACAATAATAAAAGTAAATGAGCAAGTAAAATAAGAAAGATGTTTTTCGAGATTATTGCAGCTCGATTTTCAACACTACACTGCAAATCCAAGTGTGTTATTTTTACACACATAAACGTCTAAAAATGACACATTAGACAGAAGCTCTTTTTACGTTTTTCTTCATGTGTTAAATTACGTCATTCAACACGTTTAATCATATTAAATTGTAAGTTAATACGTTCAATCGTGTTAAATAACCGTGATTTAAAACGGCAAGAAATGTGTAAGAAGATCTTCGACTAAAATAACACACTTGGATTTGCAGTGTAATTTTGAAAATTATATATTCATATGTTTTATATTATGTATATGTATATATACCTATAATATATAAATACAATGTTATATGTAATATATACATATTATAATGCATATTATTTTATATATATTTTAACTATTCGAAAAAAAAAATCTTAAACCATAAAGGTACACTGTTGGAAAATTTTTGTAGTTTTGTTAAAAAAGGTCCTTGTTAAAATTTTTGTGTAAAATAATCGACACATGTGTAGATTTAACATATGCCTACTATGTTAATTGAACTTTACAAATTAAAAATGTAAAATTATTAAAATAATATAAAAAATATGTTAAAGTAACACAATTTGAACATATTTATTAAATGTGTTAAAATTTACAGAAAAAGAGTGTTGATTTTACTCTATAACAGAAATGGGAATAAAAATTTACAGAAAAAGAGTGTTGATTCTTACAATAATTTTAACTTTAACATAAAAGTTATGTTAATTGTACACATAATTAATTACGATCAGAACTACATTTCCTTTCTGTTGAAATATTTTAACATAGTATCGGTGTGTTACTATTTAACACATCCATATTATGTTAAATTAACACAAAAATTTGAGTAGACCGTTTGGAACATGTGATTTGTTATATTTAACACAAATTTTCCGACAGTGTACACTTAAAAAATGAAAAACCGAAGATAGGTCGCTGGCATTTTTCCAGCTTTGGTAGACTGCTTAACTGAAATTTCGTATCGATTATACTATATCGAATCGAACCCACTCCATCACTTTATCGCCTTCCGCGCCCTAATCGGTACCAACCGCCGCACCATTCGATTAAGGGTAAAATCGCGCGGGGGTGTGAGCGGGTTCCCCCGTCCGTAAAAGGTCGGAAACTTCGTGGAGGCGCTTTTAGTGTCTCTTAAAAGAAACTAATAATAATAATGAAGAATCGTAGTTGTGCCCCCAAGGCGCGCTTAGCTTTCCCGCAGCGTTGCGGCGCGTCGACAATCTGGGTTAATTAATTTCACTTAACGATTTTCCGTCTCTTTCTGGATCGCCAGGCGGCTGGCGCAAACGGTGGGAGGCGGCCTTAAATCGCGGTTAGTACTAAGCGACGTTGATGTAGGGTCCCGGGTTAAGTTGCGCACCGATAGTCGGGAGTTAACTAATCCTGGATTATATATATAGCGATGCCCTGTGTCTTACTAGATTAGAGAAACGGAATATCGTGTTGTGCATGTCTACAGAACACTCACGTTCCTAAACAATCTCTGAATCTACACCTATCTGCAATCACCTTGCGGATAACATATATTTTATTGCAACTTTAGCTGTCGTACAGATATAACTCAAAACGACTTATTCTTGCTTGCGTTACTTTAATCGTGATTTCGTCAGTTCTAATTTTCGTCAGTTGAAAGTCATCTTATAGTATCGTAATTAATTTCTTTCACGGGCGTAACAAATGTCAGAAACAGCTGCAGCAACTTTTTAAATTTTATTTCCAATTGACTGACACCAGGAGTCTGACGCCACCTCTATATCGGCGACATTTTAATGATACTTTGCGCTCGTTACGCGTTCGTGAATTTTAACGATAACGCGATATTAAATACGAAGCCAGGCCGGCCACGCGGAGCGTTAAATTATTTTCCGGCCCCGGATTCTGGCAAATTTCCACTTTGTTGACAGCGCGCCGTCGAATCGGCACAGTGGTAAATAATGAGAGGTGCGGAATCATCGGTCTCAATGAATTTGCACGCAGCATGCGTTGTTTGCATGCATTAATTACACAAAGCCCGGCCGTGTAATAGTCCGGTTCGGAGTAATCGCTCGCGACAAAGTCGCGCGAACGGATGTCGATGGCGGAATCGACGTTGTCGGGCCGTCCTCGTCGCTGCAAATCTGTCAAGGATTATACCGATTCGCCGCGCATGAAAGCGATACACACAGCGATCGACGTATAACCCCGCCAAAACTAATGGAAACGTTTCGCGCGTATATATTGACAGCGCGGAGATATGAGAAGCCGTGTTGCGCCGAGAAAAATGGAAGCGCCGCCGGCAGAGGATGATGCAGCGAGAGCTTCGCAACGCGAGCTTAATTTCAATGATAGGTTCTTTGAAGTTGATTAGCCTTTAATGAAAATGTCAAGGCTCTCTACACAGTTCTCGAGTTATAAACGAGCGAAAATGAAGAGCTTTCCGGAAGTAGGTCGCGCGTATCTTTGCTTGATGGAATTAGGTCCGGAATTGCGTCACGAAGGGCAGTAATCATCATTACGTGTATTAATTATGTACTTAACTTTGTGTCGTCTTACGCTACTATATGTTCAGTCCTGTCTTCATAAATTAATGGGGTCGAGGCGTACGTCAGAATAGAAAGACATGTCAGACTGTCACGTGTGGAGAAATTGAGGCTGACACCTTTTACGAGGCTGTCCCTTTCAAAGTTATATAAGCTTGTGCCTTCGTTCCATGTGAGAAGTTGATACTAGAACTACTGAGGATTAAGGTATACACAGAAAAAAAGTGTCAAATGAACACTGACAAACTTGTATATAATACGCAAGAATATATAATCTTGAAATGAGATTATATTGCATTGAACGAAGACGTGTTTGAATATTGAAGTCATTTATATAGTTAAACAAAGTTTCATATAGTTCAAGAGAAAAAAAGTTGAAATAAAAAGTTAAAATTCTTATAAGAAGAATATATATTCTTGCGTATATGCAAGTATGCCTATCAGTGTTGATTTAACACTTCTTTTTTTTCTGCGTACCTATTTTTATAGGCAAAATATTTAGAAATACTATATATTTTTTTGAAAAATGAAGAGGGAAAATAAATTGATGAAAAATTGATCAACCAATTGTTTTCACTGCTGGATGTCCAGGCTGCGTTTCGATATTCACCGCCAGCACTGAAAATCTATAGTTTACGTCACGTATAACCGACACAGATCGACCGATGAAAACGCAAGTCGGTCGGTTGGGCTTGTCGACAACAACAAGTGACGACGACGCACGGGGTTCCGAGTTCCGAGTTCACGGGCAACGGAACGGAACGCGGGGCCCGCGAATGCGGGGCGTGGCACGCGCGATGCGTGAGAGCACGGGGAAGGGGATATTCTGATTTACGCCGCAGGGGCAAACAACCGCCTCGAATCAACTCGACCCCAGGCCCCAGGCCACGCCGCTCTGTGCAACATCCGCGCGCGCTCGGGGTTATTGTCGGCTCTATAATTTGGGGTTAATTCACCGGGCGGCACTCGAGTTCAGGCGTCAAACCGCAGATCGATAGTTCCACCCGCGCGCACCGTTGGGGTTGTCATGTAAATGTTGCGTGCGTAATACTCCCCCCCCCCCCCCCCCCCCCCGCCCCCCCCCCCCCGCGCGGCGCCCCCGGGCCCTTTCCCCGGCGATGCCCGCCGCAGGCGGCCCCCCGCCCCCCGCCCTGTCCCCCCCCCCCTCCGTGCTGTGTGCTGTGCATGGAGATGCGCGTATGCGCAACGCGCTGGATGCATGCACCTGATTCAGGCGGGACCCCGACATTCCGGCGGAAGCTAACTCGCATTCCCCGCGATAGTTAGCTCGCGGCGACTACCATGGGTCCAGGATAGCCCGAAAGATTCGTCGATGTTTTACTAAAATCGCGATCCCTGATTTAGATCAATCGAATTGATGCGGCTTAAGGTTTCGAAGTGAAATCGATTGTAACGGGATTATCGTCGTCAATCCTGACAAATTATTTTTATACAATCTCTTCCGGTCGTGGTTGCACGATTTTTCTAGTTTATCTCGGTGTCGCATTTGCGGCATTTGTCTAGAGACGCGAGTCTGTTTGGGCGAGTATATAGTGGTTTGAGAAATTCTCTCTCTTTCTCTCTTGCCTTCTTATTCCACGCGACGACAATTTGAAGAAAATCCCGACTATCGCACAGAGATTTTCCCTGAATATTTCCCGCAGTTTGCGCGAGTTACGTGCGTATATGTAGGGTAGCGTATAAGGGTAGCTACATGTAGATTTAGACGCACTGCTACGCAGAGCACGCCGCAATTTCAAAATTCCTACAGCTGCAACTGGTTGCGCAACCGATGTGGTTTACTTGTGGTGATATTGTTACGCAATTCCAGCGAGCGAAAGTAAACACTCTTGATGCTATTGTAAAATCGCAATTTCTCCAGTTATTGATGGTTACTTTAAAAATTCAATCGATACATATTAAAACGCTGTGATTAAAACTAATTATTAAATTGTAATTGCAAAATAAAATGTATTTCATAACGGGAAATAGATTAACTAATAATAAGACAAAACTCATAATAAACTCACTCTTTAATTTATCAGATAGAAATGCCAATTTATCAAGTAAGAATTCAAAACTTGCTAAGTATTTTTTAACGAGATAATATCGCGATGGGGCAGAGAGATGTGCGCTGCTCTAATGAGGATCCGAGTTGAAATCCGACCGAAATCGTCGGCTTTTATTCGATTGCCGCACCTCTTGGAAGGCAATGGCAACCCACCGAGATTATCCCTTGCCATGAGAACCTCTCTATGTTTGCCGGTCGGAATCGGCGTTAAATTGTAGATTTCATTTATCTGACGCACAGACATCAGCTCGAGGGATCACGACGCTCGGGCACGATAAAAAACGACCAAGAAGAATATATCGCGATAATGATAACAATTAATAACAATTAAAACAAATGTAAATAACTCAATTAAAGCAGGGATTAATTTTATGATATTTGAAATTACTGCGATCTCATTTTCTGATTTGAACGTTATAGATAATTAAGACTGTAATTAAATCAGCCTCAAATAGCATTTATATCCGTATTTATAATTGCGTCTCTGGTAAGAAATTCAGCTAGAAATCTGGTTATAAAATATGAACCAATTTGCCAGATTTTGAGAGTGTCAATTTGATATTCGTACCACTATTGTAATTTGTAATTATGATTAAATAAGGAACTCAAATGAAGTTTGCCACGAAAACCCTGAGTCCTTTTTCTCGCGATTCAATAACCGAGTTTCGAAAAAAAAAAGATCTCACAACTTCATCACATATTTTTTGTTTGATAACGGTTTTCACTTTACTAGTGAATTATTCTTCGACAACCGCGAATTTCTAGACGCTGCGCCGCAACTTCTGTACAAGTTCATCGAGCAGACGATGCAACCGGGTCCCTCGGTGTCGCTCAAGTGCATCGCGATGGGCAACCCTACGCCGCACTTCTCCTGGACACTGGATGGGTTTCCTCTTCCGCAAAACGACAGGTAGGACAAGCAGTTTTCCTCGCGCAAACTTCTCCGTCGGAAGACAGGAAATACACGGGGGGGGGGGCACGCGGTATCCCCGTAACTCGATCCACCGCTCTTTACCTTCTTTCTTCCGTCGGACGGAAGTTTATGGCATCAAAAATCGACGGACACGATGCACACGCGGGGAGAGATTATTCGCGGTTATTAACTCCGGGGTATTACGCGGGATCGTCGGGAAATCGTTGTGGAAGCTCGGGGGGCTTCTATCCGGCGCAGGCGGAGGCTCTCGTGGGAGAGCCTCGATATAGGCCCCCGCGGGCTTCGATTCTCTGAACCAATTGAGAGGAAAATTACCAATCACGCTGTTCAGTCTGGACGTTTTTAAAAGCCGGGCCGGATTCCGATGGATTTAACGGGCGTTCACATAAGTCGAGGATAACTGGGCGACGGGGATGAGATAATTTCGCGTTTCCGCGGTTCGCCGGCGAAATTATTATCGCCGGCGGCGAGTCGCGATAAGAATAATCTTGTCGGGAAAGGGGGATCACGTTACGAGAAGAGTGTTTTCTCGTAATGTGGGATCAACGTAAGAAATGGATTCCCTGCAGTTGGTAAAAGAATTGTAAAAATCAAACCGTGATGGGTATATAACTTACAACAAAAATTAATGTATAAATTTGATTTTGAGCCTCGAAATAATGACGAGTATAAAGGACTATTTATATTGTGAAAATAATAAATTTGAATTTATTCTCACACATTATGTTCTTATATGTAGAGTTTCTTTGAATGTAACATCTATTTCAATAAGAAATCTAAAGAAACATGTTTATTCGTTAAAATTCTTTCCAGATATTTAATTTAGCGAACGACAAAAGAGATCTAAAGAAATTTTATTATTTCTGAAAATTCCTTCCAAATATATAATTTAGCAAACAACAAGAGAGACCTAAAAAAATTTCATTACTTCTGAAAATTCCTTCCAGACATGTAATTTAGCGAACGACAAAAGAATCTTAGCGCGGACCATGCACTGACAATATCGAGCTTTCCTCCGCGCGAACGGGGAGTGGGTTTTCTCGCCGATATAGAAAATTGTTGTGGATATCTGGCAGATAAATTAGTGAAACCGATTTCCTTGCAGATTCATGATAGGCCAATACGTGACGGTGCACGGCGACGTGATATCCCACGTGAACATAAGTGCCGTGAGGGTGGAGGACGGCGGCGAGTACAGGTGCTCGGCGGTGAACCGCGTCGCAAAGGCGCATCACGCCGCCCGGCTCAATATTTACGGGCTGCCTCATGTGCGAACGATGGGAAACTACGCCGCCGTGGCCGGCGAGACGACCGTCATCAAGTGTCCCGTTGCAGGCTTCCCGATCGCCAGCATCACCTGGGAGAAAGGTTCGTCGTTGTTGTGGTTCAATCACAGTTTCCCATTCGATCCATTTCTAAAGAAACTCGACGTTATGGTTTTTTTTTTACCGAAAAATATATCGCTAACTCGATTAATCGAAACGATGTCAGCGTGGTCCACTGCTCGTGTAAACATTTAGACGGTTTTACACACGATTACTCGCAAACGCTTCTTTATTTTTTTCCACTAAAATCTGATCTCTGTATGAGAAATTTTTATGATTCTAATAAGTAGATTAGGTTCTAGCTCTTTTCTAACAAGATAAGGTCTAAAAACATTCTAACAATAAGTAAAAAAATAATTTTAAAAAAATCTTTCACTATTTAGTATGATTTATTATTTTGTGATTATATGTTTTTAAACAATGCACTTTTTTACAATGCATTTTTAAACAATGCAAGATATAGCTTTTTTAAAATGTATTCAAATGGGCAATTCCATATTAAATCGGACAAGAATGACCTCGTATTTTATTTTTTAAATTGAAACTTTATTCACGTAAAATATACATAAAATAAAGAGGTACGTATTTTTTGTTTTTTGTTTGTCCAAAAATATTTTTTATGGAAATTATAAACAATTCAATTTTCGAAGCAGTCGTCAACTTTAAAAATTAATATTTCTGGTTATATTTGTCGTAGAGAAATCATAAAAAATGACAAAACATCTTAAAGCTATAAAAGTAGACAATCTTTTTTAGAAAAATAGTTAGTTGCAAAAAATTGCAAATTCCAATTGTTATAAGAAATTGAAATGTTTAATTATTTTTTTTACCAAAAAGTACATTTAAAACAATGTTTTAAATAATGTTATCTCATTTTCCATTTTATTCTGGAAGTGTACATATTTATTTTATGAAGAAACGATATATATCTCTTTGTTTTATATATACCTATATTTCACGTGAAAAAAGTTTTTATTAAAAAAATACGAAGTCATTCTTGTCCGATTTGACATGGAATTACCTATACATATATATGTGTATATAAAAGTATTTCTAGTTACTAAAATCACTCTGTATATCACGAATTAAAAATCTAGTGCGGAGATCGGAGAAGAATAATGCGACTCTTTTTATCGGGAGATTTTTGTTGTACTATTTCATTGCTCGCGATATTTCCAAACCACGGATTTTCAGCTTACTTTTGCATCCATCGCGAAATTATATTGACCCATTCTATTAATATTAAAAATTTGTCGCCTCAACATTGTGACAATTCTATGATAGTGTAATATATCAACATATTTTTCCATTTATACGCTGACATACTTGCATATTTTATGTTATGTATGTGTCATTATATTTTTTATCTTTTTATAAATTAAAACATTGCACCCATTCGACCGAAGTTGGTCGCATATTCAACTAAAAAATCTTGGCAATTTTAAAACGTAGAATTATTATTTTTTTAAATATAATTGATTATCGCTCTATCGTGCATTGTATTTCAAACATTCGCGCTAATATTCGCCTAAATTTCGCATCTTTCTCTCTAGAGAGAATTTTCGTAGTCACGGTACATCACGCGAGCAACCACCGAAGCCTCTTAGCTACATCGCGCGGATAAACCGCGAGCGCAACCGACTCGTTTCTTCCGCTTTAACGAAGTCTAGCGACTTCGCGCCTCTTATTTCTCCCATCAAACACCATGGCTGTGGGTGGTGGAATTAAACGCGCTTGCGAAGATTAAAATACTCGGGATGCTGTGAGGAACGCATAAATAAACGACTGCGTCTCCGACCGATGAAAAGTCGCGCTTTCTTCAGGAAATTTCTCCCGTCATCGTCGGGAGATCTCTCCTCAGAAAGGCGAGCGGCGTGAAGCGAGGCAAACCGGGCGCTTTTTTTCCCTCCCGAACTTCTCGCATCTCTCGCGGCGAAAGCGGACTGACGCGTAATAGCGAGAGAAGGCGTGGAAAATCCTTTTATTTCGACTGAGATCGCGCGGCCGTTCTGCCCGCGGCAAACTTCGAGCGTTCCCTCTCGTAATGATGAACTCGACTTCGAGGAAGTTTCAAACGATCGTTCCGCCAACTTTCCTTTTCCAACCTTTCCCGACGTCGCGACGACGCGACGGCTCGATAGTGACCACGCGCGACCACCCACGGCCATTTGATCCATTAAGCACCGTAGCGCAGTGCTTTTTAAGGATCTACGAAAATGTCCGGTAGCTATGGAAAGAGTTATCTTTACTTCGACTTGAGTTATCTTTATATTCTGATTTTCACTTCCATTTTTAGAATTAATACCTCATATTATATTTTACATTATTTTACATATTATTTTACATATATTATATTATATTTTACATTACATTTATGCAATAATACATGTATTTCACTTTTTGTTTTATTGCACTTTATTTCTATGTGTTTGGTGAATATCTCGTGAAAAATCTTTAACGGTTAATTCCTATAAATTACATATTTTTTATAATTATATATTCTTAGCATTATCTATTTTTTCTAAGTCGTGTAATTTTTACATTCTATATCTAATTTTTTAATATATATTTTGTATTATATTTACGATCTTTTGGCATTTATATCTATTTGATAAAAACATTGCATGTTGCATGCGCTGTTATTTTTGTGTTTATCTGCTTCCTAGAATACACCAAGGCAACAATTTCGAAGTCGGTTGCCGACTATGGAAGCGTATTGAACACTCGACTGCGTCGCCGTGACGTCGCCAATGTGGTGCAAAATCAGTGGAAAACCGCATTTTCACAATGCCACGGTCGCGCGGATCGTACGACGTGCAATGAAAAGCGAATGCATAATTTAAAGTCAAATATCGCATTTCCATGGACGGGCGCGACTTTCGATTAAAACTCACGCTTGGCCGCAGGCGAAGAAAAACACTTTCGCGATTATGCTTTCGTTCGAATACGGGGATATGAAATTTGTTGCTGAATACCGAAAACTGTAATTTTCCGACGAGCTATAAATGTAAGCTATACATATATGGTACAACATTATTACGTAGTCGAAGCTAAAAATGGATTAAAAATGGAATTTATTGCAAAATTGTGAAGCATAATATATAGCATTCGTTTTACCTTTGTCTAGTCTGTACGATCTTTCCGGTCGCATGCTGCTGCTCTGCCTTCCTCATTGTTTAGATCCTCTAGTTCATATTCTGAATTATTTCCTCTTCTCTCATACTTCCCCCTTTTCATGGAAACTTACAGTTGTCCTCCTCATTTCCAAAACTCGTGTCCCCTCCGTTTTCTCATCTCTTCGTCCCATTTCTCTCGCTTCCTTTCTCTTTAAACTCCTGGAACGTATATGTTTTGCACAACTGAAAGCGTTTATCAATAACTCTAACATCTCAAAATGTCAATCTGCATTTCGTGGTCTGCATAGTACCACTATGTCCAAATCCTCATTTCTCATCGCCGGCTCTTCTGTACTTTTGTCTCATCTTCATTCCTTCGATATCTCTCTTCTCTCTTAACTCTGTACCTATTCCTCGTTTGTCCTCAATCAAAATACTTGCGTTCACTTCGACTCATCTTGGTCGTTTAAATCGCATGTGGACACAAAGTGCCGGGCTACTTTTGCGTTTTCTCTATAGCCTTTTCATCATATCCTCACTATTTTAGACATGTATCCTAATCTCTTGTCCTTACCTACACGTCACTTCACTAATTGTAAGTTTTGCGCTGTCTTTTCCTACTGTGCAGAGTCAAGTACTTTAATAAACTGTACTTTCTTCCATAAGATTCTCCTCCTCTCTATCTTCTTTTAACGTCGCAGCCTCTAGTTTCATAACGTCACCTGCGTTTTCTCTAAATTAACATCAAAAGGCACACATTCTTTTGAGTGATAATTCTACACGTATGTCCTCTGTATTATGTACTATATATGTATCGCATTTCTGAGTGTGTGAGTGTGTGCACATATGTTTGTGATTATAGCAACAGTTTTGTTGATACTTCACCATTTGCATGTACTCTTACTTTGTACATTCAGGCTATGTTTAATCTTTGTTCTTTGTTATGCAATAAATTATTATTATATTTTATTATTTCTTAATAAATAATTATAAATCTAAAAGTTTTAATTTATAATTATAATTTATTGTAATCACAATTTAAACTTGTTGCATTAATTTAACGTTATTATTTAGTTTAATAATTATCTCAAATCTCGCTCACCGCTTCCTTCGAATCAATTAGAAATAGATATTACATGCGCGTCACTGCCTTTTTCCACTCGAAAGAAGCCGTCAAAATATGAAACGCATTTTCTCCTCGTAGATGGCCAAATATTACCGACCAGCCGACGTCAGGAGGTGTCTGCGAACGGCACGCTGGTGCTCCATCGAGTCGACAGCAGCACCGATCGCGGCGCATACACTTGCACCGCGAAGAACAAGCAAGGTCGCTCTGATTCGCAGACCATTCACATAGAAGTCAAAGGTAAAGTCGTCTCGCTCCTGCACACGCACCGATTTCCTCTCTCCCTTGTTCCCCTCTTATGCACGAAGATTTTATCTGCTTAAATTGGAACAACAGTGTCCCGCGTGTGTGCGTGCGTCGTTCGACGACGGACGCGTCCTGGCTGTAATCGCGACGAAGTGCTTTCACGATGAAAGCGCGTCGGGACGTCGAATCGACTTATCGGAAGAAATCGTTCGTCGATGCATCACGTCGTTCGCGGATTTTGTCAGGTGCTGTTAAACGCGCCAAGAATCGCGCGGCATCTTCGCGTTTTCCATCGACCACGCTCGCCACGATCGCATTTCGATTCGGAAAATATTCCGTAGCGATTACGGGGAATAAAAACGTATAACAAACGGTACGTTATTCCGCGAGGAATATAAATGTCGTTCGAAACAAGTTATACCGCCGGGGGTTTTAGAATAGAAACGCCTAATAAAAGAATATCGTATCGATATGAAATGTGGTCGATGTATCTCTCTTCGTAGGGGAATTTTAAATTGATAGCTGTGTGCGCGCGGAATCGCGCACGGACGTTTTGTGGATTTTTATCTCGCGTATATCGGAGGGAACGACAATTTTCCTCTCGATACGCGTCATACCGGCTCAATGCCGCGGAGAATCGTAGGAAACGAAAAATTTGTAGCGCTTCACGCGTATAATATAGTGCGTTCCTGTGGGTATAATATAGTCGGCGCGAGTAGATGGAAGAACTACAAGCACGTGTTTTATTTTGCGAGATCGAACGGGACCTCCCTCCGCCTTCGTGCACGATAGAAAGTGCGGTGAACTTTCTGTGATTTAAAAAGAAATCCTCCCCCCCCCCCCAACGCTTCATTTCTGCCGCGAGAGAGACGCTCGTACCTCTCCATTCGGCTGTAAGATTTCTCTTTCGAAGTACTAGAATATTTCGAGAGATAAATTATTTCGCAAAGAAACTTCCATACATTTATATTCTTGATATCCATGAAGTACAGATTTATCGCCATTTTAATATACATATTAAATATAATGCCTATAAAAGCAATTGTCTCGGTTCAAAATTATGGAGATCTTATAAATCCTTCAATTATATAAAGATTTATTACCTGATGCATTAAATAATACCTGTAAAAGCAGTTGTCGTTTCAAAATGATATTAGAAATCCTATAATTCCTTCAATTATATAAAGCTCATAAAGTCTCTTAAAAGTTTAAGTTATAATCATATTACTTGTGAATGATGTTGAGATGTTGAAATGAATGGAATTACGAAAGTTTATTAAATTGAAAAGAGATGGATATCTATCTCTTGACTGAACTTCTTTTTCTACCGTGGCGATAATTGTTTGTGTGATACAAAATTCATTATCACCTCAATTAATTAGGGACGCTGTTGTTCTCCATTAAATAATACTATACTTAATATTAGAATGTTTTCTAACGAATTTTCTAACAGCGCGCAGTGTTTGAGAAAGTAGATAATACAATTTAGTCGATATTATCTTAAAAGCTTTTCTTGGATTAATAACAATTTCAGATGCATGACTTTTACGCTGCGATCACGTCGAGCAAAGCACGCAGGTAGGATATATAAAATGTGCTCGGGACTTTTTTTTGGGATAAAATTAGATCGCGCAATGGTTGAATCCTCTTTATGTGCCATCAATTCAAATCTTTTGAGTCGAGAGGATATCGAATCGCAAAAATTGGATATATCTATATGGCTATATATATACGTACATTGAATCTTTCCGCTGATATAGCTATTTTATAAAACGTTGCAAATGCATAAATTCTGTATTGTTTCCTTCAACGTCTTTCAGGAAATGATTAAAGACACAGTCATAATAATAAGCACACAGCCTCGGAATTGGATAAAATCGATTCTATGGACATTATTCATAGTCAGATCTTATATATTTATTAAGACCATCTTAAGCACAATCTTAAGATGCTGTAAACCAATCCACAGTGCCGTATTAGTATCTTATGACATTACTTAAAATGGTTTTAAAATAAGAACGGACCTATGAATACCGGCCTATGATTTGGAAGTAATTCAGCGTTTTATAACAACCGATTAACCGAATATATATATAGTAATATTATTTTTTTTTTTGCTGCATCGAAATATTATGTAAGCAATTATCCCTTGATTCACTCTTACGTATCGAAAAGATGTTTTCCCCCACAAAATTCCTTCTTCTCTCGACTCGACTATTTCCGGCGCAACGCCGATGACGACGACGACGCCGACGACGACTACAATCGCACGTCGTCGCGATGTGAAATAAACTCTCGTGCTTCCTGTAATTTGCAGTACCGCCTAAAATCGATCCGTTTAGCTTTCCCGACAATATCCAGGCGGGCGCGCGGGTTCACGTAACCTGCGCGGTCAGCGAGGGCGATTCACCTCTGAAGATCACCTGGCTGAAGGACGGCAAGCCGATGAGGGCGCGGGAGGCCACCACGCATCAGATCGGCGAGTTCGATCTCGCGTTAAGGATACAGAGCGCGTCGACCGCGCATAACGGCAACTATACTTGCGTGGCGAGCAACGATGCCGCCAAAACGTCCCGCACGGCGTCCCTCCTGGTCCATGGTACGCAGCAACCGGCCGAACCGTCAGATGCCATGCCGGAAACCCTCTTTACTTCCTTACAGCCTCTATCCTACCCTTTCAAAAAGAAAAATTCGAAGCGATCCTGCATCATTTCGCGAACTGAGTTCTTTTTACTTTCAACTTCTCTTGCTCTGATAAAAAAATGTTCCTTATGTCTCGATTTGTACTTACTGTCATACTGTTAAATGACATTTAATTTTGCTAAAAGTCGGGGGATTGCATTTCTCGGTCTTGTCACTTTACGTACGTACAGTTTGAAAAAGTTCTCTCTGAAATATCGTTAGATTTATTCTGATTTTTCGAAGCAATCTCTGTAGTCGAGGAACAGCCACTTTTACTTCCTAAGCGGATGCGGCACGCTCGGGTTCTTTTTCCCCGAGTTTATTCCGCTAAAAGCTCTCTTCCCGTACTTGGCGGATATGCATGTTCCCATTGGCGGCCCGCCGGCGATGTACAACGCGATCGTACAACGGGAGAATTGAGGGAACGGGCGATGATTGCTATTAATCGACGCGCGACTCCCGTGCCAAGCGGGACCACTTGACCGCGCGCGCGCGCGGATCTCGCGTACAAAGCGCGAAAGTGAAATAGAATTGGAAAAATAACCATCGCGTCTTCGACGGCAAAGTGAAAAGCGGATAATCTCGCGCGCAAACTTCGCCTCGACTCGTCGAAATGATCTGACGGCTTTTTTTCCCCGCAGCCGCGAAACAGCGGGATACGCGATCGGGCGTGATTTAAAGCGAGGCGAGGAAGCGAGGAGCTTCGTCGAAAATTACGTCGTGGGCGTCCTCCGCGATTACATCGAGCTGTCGTTTTACCGTGGCGGTACAAAAATAGAGGCGAGATATTTATCACCGGAGGGACTGAAAAGAAAGAGACCGGCGCGTATGTACACACCCGTAGCTTCGTCGATGCGTGTACTACAATCCCTCGTCAACGGACGAGACGTCCCCCTATAGCTATGCCGCGCGTTTACATTTTCCCATCAAGGACGAGGGTGGCGCGCGCATTAAAAGCGCTTCTTCTGTCGACGAGCAAATCGCTGCGAGCGAAACAGCGAACGAAGGCCCCCGGTCGACGACGAGCGAATGAACGTTACGTACGAACGAATCGCCTGAGGGTGATTACCGCGTCTCGTTGACAGCCAAAGAACAAACAGAAGACAGATCGCGTTTCTTTCGCGTCTCTTATACGTGCGCGTTTACTTAATTGTATTGCGCGCCTCTTCCTCGAGATCACATGTAGTACCGCTACTATGCACCGATGTCGCCACAGTTT